TTACTATTAAAAAAAAACGAAACAAAAACCAGGTTCTTTATAGTGTTTATTGATTGCAAAATTTGAAATTTTAACATTCATTTAGAACTATAAAAAAAATTAAGTTTTTTTTTCTTTTTGTGATGAAATAGTTTTGGATTAATACTGGAAAATAAGTTAACATTCCAAAAGGGATTTTTTTTTTTGAATTTTTAATTGGATAATTTTTATTATTAAATTTTGTTACAGTAGGATAACATTTGGTGAGAAAACACATTTCCTTTTCATGGAGATTTTCCCATCATTCCATAATATTTCATTCAAGTAATTTAATTTTAAGAAAAATATGTATTTTTTTTTCAATTGATGTATATTTAAAATTTATATAAAGTTTTGAGAATTTTGTTTATTGTATTTGAATTTTTAAAAAAATTAAAAAATAAAATTTCATTTTTTTTATTTCTAAAAATGAATTTTATTTTCATTATCATAATCAAATAAAAAACATCCATTGTGAAAAAAACAAATTTTTAAAATATTTTTTGAATTTTTCTAAAATAAAAATAAAAAAATTTTTACATTTTTTTATATCCAAAAATACAGAAATTTTTTTTTATATTGGGATACATTTTTTTCTTAACAATAAATATATTATTTAATCTAATTTAAATTTTTTTTATAAATAAAATTTTTAAAAAAATTTTAATTAAAAAAATTTTTAAATTTTATGTTTCATTGTCTTCAAAGATAAAAATATTTCTCCCCATTTTTTTTTCTTTTTTTCTAATTTGTGTCTTTTGCAAAAAAAAATCACTGAATAAGTTTATAAACAAATGATGCAGAATCTTTTTTTTACTATTTGAAAATTAAAAATAATTTTATTCAATTATCACTAATGGATATCAAAAAATTTAATTTTTTTTTTAAAAAAGTAAAAAAGAATGTTATTTCCTAGACAACAAAAAAAGATAAATTGCTGGTTTTTTTTTTTATTTTATTTTTAATACAATTATAAGATGTACACCATTTAAGATCTGGATTTAGGCCATGTAAAAATCTTTCTCAAATTCAAATTTTGATGCAAATTTTTAAATATCTATATTAGTTTACAATGCATGGCACAAAAGATTTTCAATTACATATGTTTTAATTTTAAAAAGAAAAATCAATACTATTATCAACAAATTTTTAAGTTTATATATAAAAAAAAATAATAAAATTAATTTTAAAAATTAAAAATTTTTTTTTTGCTTTTGTTAAATTAAAAACAATGAAAAAATTGGCATGAAGAAAAAAAAATTAAAACCAAAATTTTATTGTTGGGAACATTAAATAAATTTTGTTATTTAATTTAGATTTTATTTTTTTTTTTTTTTAAAAAACAAAAAAAATTTATCAAAACAATTAAAAATAAAAAAAACAAATAATAATCAATTAAAATTTTAAAATTTTTATTTAAATAAAAATACATTTGGACAAATAAAACATGAAAAGATTGTTTAACATTTCATTTTATTGTTGATTTAATGAAAATAACTAAGAAGTTACAAAACTTCATATTTTAATTATTTCATGTATTTTCAATTTAATTTATCTAATGAATTACTTTTTATTTCAATTTTTATATATCAAATCCAGTCTTATAAATTACTAGGGTTTTTCTTATTTCTTCACATTTATAATTCAACAGAATTTTTTTTTGAGTGTTATTCAAAGTTAAGTAGTAGAAATAATGAGTTCAATAAAGATTGAAATCATCTTTCCTCTTGTTGATTCTTTTTGAAATGTAAAATCAAAAATTTTTTATTTTTAGATTTTAGTTTTGTTCTATAGAAATTTAACATTTCAAATTTTTTTTCAATAAATTATGTTTTTTTTTTAATATTTTTAAATTTGATTTTCCAGTGTTTCTATAAAACTTTTTATTCTTTTTAAACAAAAAAAAATTTCCAAAATTCTTTTTAATTTTTCTTATTTTTTAAAAAAGTACTATTTTTAAAAGTGGTTGTATTTTAAAACATTTTTACTCAACTAGGATAATATTTGATATTAAAAATTTTTTTCCCCAAATTTTAAATTTAAACAATTACCAAATATTTAAAACAAAAATTTCACAATATTAAAAATTTTTTAAACTTCAAAAAAATTAAAAAATTTTTTGAACATTTTTTTTTAAAATAGTTTATCAAAAATTTTAAAAAGTTTATCAATGTGTTCTTTTTTTGAAATTTTGATAAAACTCCTAAAATCTAATTTAAAAAAATATTGCCTTAAAAGTATATTTATATTGTAATTTTTTTAAAATTTAAAAAAATTAATGTATTTTGTATATTTTTGGGATTTTAATTTTTTAAAATGAATTTTTTAAATTTAAGGTTTAAAGTTTTTTTTTTTAAAAAAAAAGCTTTTATTGAAAGCTAAAGGATTAAATTTACTATTTACAGTAAGCAAAATACTCCAGTGTATTTCAAACAGAAATTATATTGATTGGAATTTTTTTTTTTTTTTGCTAAAATAGCTGATTATTGCCTTTTTTTTTTTTTCATTCATAAACAAAATTTTTCTTTAAAAAAAAAAAAAAAAACTTCCAAAAATAAAATATACTTTTCTGAAATTTTACATGAGAAATATTAGCTAATTTAAAGGTATAATTAATCTGATTTGAAAAAAAAATTATTTACTTTAAGTTTAAAATAACATAGAAATATTTTTTAAAACAAAAACAGTAGCTGTGTTTTTTAATTTTTTGCCATTTTTTGACATGTTTGATAAAATGACAAATGATTAATTTTTGTTGTTGTTCTACAGGAGACTTTATTTAATTTAAAAAAATAATTAAAGAAAATGACTTTTTTTTCACCTTTTTTTATATAATTTTTAAGTACACAGTAATCTTAAAAATGTTGGAAAATATCCTCCATAATCTAATTTTAGGAATGTTGACTTCAAATTTACTATACTTATCGCTCTTATTTTTGGATAATGTCCTGTATGGTTGATCATACTTTCAAAAATGGGAACATTACATAATATTTTATATACATAAAAAAAATTTTTTAAATCTTAGTGCAAGATGATTTGCTTTTCAATTTTTGATTAGTAAATATAGTTTTAATTTAATAAATGACCTAATGAAAGTAATGCAGAATTTTAAATGATTTGTTATAATTTATTATTTTTAAAATTAGAAAAAAAAAAAAAAAATGAAAACAATTCTTGTAAAAATTCATTATTCAAAAATTTTTTTTTTCTTAAGACAATAGTGTTTAATAAATCTTATTTATAAAAAGCAATTAAAAGTTTTTCTAATTAAATAATGTCATAGTTTTATTGCAATTTTTATTTTACAATTCAGAGCAGATTTTCAGGAAATGAGTAGTAGTTTGAAAAACAAAATTGATTTACATTCTTCAAGGAGTCCTGATTTTTAAAAAAAAAAATAAAAAAAATTTTAAATTTCATGAAATTAAATGGGGAAAGGGTAACAAAAAAAAAAATATTTTTACCAAAAAAAAAAAAAAAAAAAAAAAAAAATAATTTCATTTCATTTGTGACTAAGTCCTAAAAGTTTCATTAAAATTTGACAATTATTTGATTTTTACATGAATTTCCAAATCAATGTATTTTACACCAGCAAAAAGGCACTAAAACACTTATTGTAAATATTAGGTTGACTGATGACAAAAAAATTTTTTAACCAAAATTTTAAACAAGCTAGAAAGGATTAAAAAAATTTAATAAAATAATAAAAAATACTTTTGTCTTTCCTCTTAATAATAAACATTTTGACAATAAAATTTTGTTTTTATCGTTTTGGAGGCTTTTTTCATCATGCTATGCTTTTTTTTTTTTTTTGTTTCTCAAAAAAGTAAATGGAGATACCTAGTTAACATATTTCTATGGCTTAAATAAAAAATACACCTCATGAAATACAAAGTTGAAGAATAGAAATATTTGCTAATTAAAAAAAAAATCAACTTATGGTAAGAGCAGGAATAGAAATAAATTCTCTTAGTGGGAGGTAGGGATTTTTGGAATGGAAACAAACTGGCTTGCTTTAATTTATTTTTTTGCCAACAGTGGTTTCTTTTGCTTTAAATATATTCTATATTTTTGGCATCATCATATTCATGGTCTTCTCTGATGTTCTTGTATAACAAACTTGCATGAATTTCATGAAAATAGATCTCTACTAACACAAAAGCATTATAGTATAACTTTCATTAAGCAATCTCCATAAAGAGTTTTTTGACTGCTCTCTTGTATAATTTACACTTCTTTTTCTCTAAGTGACAAACTGATGGCCTACAATTCTTGTCTTTAATCTTTTATAAATAATTTTAAAATGGCATTTAATATTGTTGCAAGTTTCAAGGAATAGCTCATACATTCTTATCTTTTCATTTAACTTCCTTACAAGTGAGCTTCAAGTTAAGCATCAATTCTAGGCTCCTGATTTCATCTTACTCATCCCTCTCCACCAATTGGTAAACCTTTTCTTAATAATTTTGTGGGGTGGAGGTGATGAATAAAAACTTGCAATTCAATTTACATGTCATTTAATCTTGAAATATTTAAATTAACAAGATATTTGCAGCCAACCAACCAATGCATGTATATTGAAATTGTTGGAATATTATCCTTACTCAGAATTAACTCTCTTGAAATCTTTAAATCTAAAGCTTCAAGCCTATAGTATGATTTTATTTCATTGATATATTGATAAACTATTCATAGTTTCAGTTACCAAATGTCACTTCATTCATACAAGAAATATTTTTTTAATACGTTAAGTGAAACTCTCTCATGGTTAAGAACATTCCATTTATTTGAAACTCTACTAAGTTGACAAGATAAACCTAAATGTATATAAACGGAATCAAATTGATCAAATTTTCATTCTGTTTCCTTCTGAAACTTTTTTTTTCCATATCACATTGGGAAAAGAGTATGTATCTTCGTGAAAAATAATTTATCATAATAGAATTTGCTATATTTATTGTGAGAATGTCTTCTTTTAGATGTCTTTTTGGTGTCGCTTGTAACTTTTGTGCTTCCTATTTTTCTACTCAGTTTAGACTAACTTTTAACTGTATATTGTTTATATTTTTATATGGTTAACTTATTTTGCAATCATTTATTGTTATATAAATTTTTTGTTTGTTGATAAAATCAACTGTTTAAGGTATTAATAACTTTTTTTAATGGTTCTTATTGCTAGAAAAAAAATAAAATTTACTATTTGGTGATTAAATACATTGTTTAGTCATATTCAAGCCTCCTTTAAAATTGACATCCAAAATTATTACATACATTTGGCCATTTAAATGCATTTAAGCAAAAAAAATAATTTTCTTCCTTTTGTCATTGTATATCACATACTCATTGAATAAGTTTGTCTTTCTAAGTAAAGACTTCATTTCAATAGACACCTCATTTTCTTTTCATAGAACAATGAAAGAATGGTGATGGACATTTTAAAGACTTTATATTCCTTCTGTTAGAATTTACTACTTATCCAAAAGTATGTATTGTCTTACTGATTTAATATTTATCCTGGCATTATATTAGGTGGGAAATATATTGTCTAAAGTGAACCTTTAAATGTAGATTGGGCCATCTTATAAATAATTAGGGATTTAACTTTAATTAAGAAACTGAAAAAAAAAAAAAAGAAAAAAAAGACATTCAATCCCATCTTTCCTCTCTCTCTCTCTCTTTTTTCAAGACAACTTCCTATTTCGACTGATTTTACACCTGTTGGAAACCCCATCTATGATGTGAGGTAAGATGTTTGTCATTTGACTGATATATATTTATATATCAATATACATTTTTACAAGCAGAAAAAGTACTGTTTTTATATTTTGAACATTTCAGTCTAAAAAGCCATACTTTACTAATGCTACTTCCCCTATTTTCTATGCAAGAGAACAAGTAATTTAATTAAATTTAATCTGTTGGGTTAAGATTAGTAATGTTTATATTTTAGAATTATTTTCAGATTTGAAAAGGTATAATTTTTATTTAATACAAGAAGTAAAAATATGCAGAAAAGGAAGACTTAAAATATTTATTAACTCACTTGTGAAGTCACTTAAAAAATAATGTTTTATCAGTTTTTGCATTACATTATATAAACTGTTTTCTGCAATCTTCATAGGACATTTGTCATCTTTATATACTTCAAATAATAATTATAGAAATATAAATTTCATGAATTAAAGTTAATATTTTTTGTGTAAACAAACATTTTTTAGTGAGATATCTTACAAAATTTAAGCATTATTTCTTCTCTTTTGGTACTATGTTTTTAATTTTGGTTTGGTGGGATCATGTTTTTTTTCTTTTATGTTTTTTGGGTTTTTTTTGTTTTTGTTTGTTTTGTTTTTTTTTGTATTTTTGTTTTTAAGAATAGAATTGTTTTAGATGAAAGGCCTTTGTCCAGGTTTGCAATCATTTTCTTTCTTTTCCTTATTTGTTAGGAATGCTTGGACTTTAATATTTATGGATCAAATGTGGGAATTACTGATGGTTAATAAAAATATTAATTTATTATAACATATTCATCCTAGATTCTCGTTATGCAATGTCATATTTCTTTTTCCTTTACAAAGATATTCACATGCCACACAAACCTGGCTTTACCTATATCTAAAAGCTATATATATATATATATATATATATATATATATATATATATATATATAAAAATGCCTTTAATCTTATTAAAAGCTATTTTTGTTTGTATGACTATCATTATTTAAATGTAACAGGCATTCAAATTTTCTGTGTTTGTAATGCTAAGCTTTCTAGATAAATGTATCTACTGACTGATAGTTTTGTAAACTCATTGACACTGATTATTAGAACATGGATTTTTTTTTTATCAAAGATCACTATCAGATGGAAAGGTTCAATATATTGAAAAGGTTTGGTTGGATAGTATCTGATTTTTTTTAAGCAGTTTGTATTCTCATCATTAAATTCTTTATTATTAAATCTCAAAAGATGTCAACAGTCAAGATGTATATGCTATTCATTTATTTAATGAGGAAAAAAAATAAGATTCTGCTAAAATGGAAGTAGTAATTCCTCTAGTTATTGGGAACTTTGATATATACCCTTATCAGGTGCTGAGAAACTAATATTGCATTTAAGTATAAGAGGTGAAAGGTTAGCAGCATTCATAGATATTGAACAATATAAATATAGAATATTGTCAGTTAAGATTTGCCAATTGAATAATGAACATGTTAGTAATGAAAGTAATTAACCAAATCAGCAATATCTATTTTGTATGCTTTCCTTTTACAATGGGCTTGTTAGAACATTACCTTTGGGGGGGTGCTTATGAATATACACACATACACCAACGTATGTCAAAGTTTGAGCTAATTAATTTAGGGGATGAGTTTTTGGGGATTTTTTTTTTCTGAAATAACAATTCTTAATGATTAAATGTTACCATATTGCAAAAAAAAAAAAAAATCCCATTTCTTTTTTTTTTTTTTTTTTTGGCAGGTTTTTTTTTTTTCTTTTTTTTTTTTTTTATTTTTTTTTTTTTTTTTTTTTTTTTTTTTTTCTTTTTTTTTTTTTTTCTTTTTTTTTTTTTTTCTTTTTTTTTTCTTTTTCTTTTTTTTTCTTTTTCTTTTTTTTTTCTTTTTCTTTTTTTTGCATTTGAAAAGTATCTATCATAGAAAATAAATGATAAAAACACTGCAACAAAAATTAATTTCTAAGTAAAAATTGAAATATTTCATCTTTAAAACAAACTACTGACAATATGAATTGTAGTAGTTAAAACAGCTACAATTAATGAGTTCATTGCCTTAAAAAACCCTTTCATTATGAATGTAATAGAATAAAAAAAATGTTCATATTATGTTCCATTTCTTGATATGTTGTACTCCATAACTGTCTTCTGTATTTCTGATTTACAAATTTCATGCATAATATTTTATTTAAAAATTAGATTAACTTTTTCATAACAGAAAACATTAACTGAACGTTTCCATTAACATATACGGATTCTAACTTTTGATATGCTTGTCCCCTGTTTGCTGATATTTCATTGTTTAATAGCATATGTGTCAATTGCTAACTTTTCAGGATTATCATTAGTCATGGTTCTTAATTGGTGACTTGATTTAAAAGGTTGTTCACTTGAGTTTCTTTTCATTTTTAAGTACACAAAACTAAAATAAACTTACTTTATTTAGGTAGACTTCAGAATGAAAATTATTTGTGCATAGTAAAAAAAAAAATTATTGAGTAGATAAGATGATTTTTGCTACAGTTGAAATGGATTTGTCTTTATAGCATTTCTGATATTTAATTTTTAAAATCAAATGAGTATCAAGAAAAGTTTGGCAACTAATTTTGGTGACAATCTCATTTCAATTTTTGTGAAAAATCTCACAAAGTTAAATGTAAAATTTAAGCACTTATTGTTTTTTTTTATTGTTTATGTATTTGTGATTTATTGTACTCTGTATTGCATTTCTGAAGGGTTTTAACTAAGAATCATAACCACATTACTACTTTTATTGATTTTATTTGAATTAAGGATTCATTTCCTGTTTAAGTTTCTATTTATTGGTCTAGTTTTGTGTCTGTCACTTAAGTTATTCTGCAAAAATTGTGAATCTCTCCAGCAGTACTAGAACTAAATATAACTTTCCCATAAAAAAAAAGTCTCCAAATCTTCCATATTGTTCCAGTTATGCATGACAATAGTTGGGGAAATGTTCTTAAATGAGTATAGATTTTTATTCCTTTGAATGTATTAGATGTTTTAGATTTTTTTAAAAATCTGAATTTAAATCTGTTTTATTCTTAAGATTGAATCATTGTTTTCCTATTAAAATAGGAATATTTTACTGTTTCTAATAATTTTACATGTCTAGTTTTTCATTGTTCCCATTAGTAATATTTGTCAGTGAAAATCGTTTAATGGCAATTTGCTAGTTATTTTATTTTTATGAAGCAGTTTTATTTAATTATTCTTAAAAAAAGTAATTGCTTCACTCAAAATATTTTTTAATCATTTAATATGGCATTGAACTACAAGGACAGATCAAGAAAAAAGCTTAAGTATGTTTTTCAATTATCAAAATTATTAATTTATTTATCTATATATTGTTGCTCATTTAACTTATTTTACTTTTCTGGGATGCAGACATTCTTTTTTTATTTTAGTTTAAGACAGTTTCTTTCTGGTTTTAAAAGTATAAACTTAAAATTCTGCTGCTGCTTTATAGAATGAGGTTCTATATCTCTTGCTGTTTTTTGTTTTTTAATTAATTTTCATTAAATCAAATTTTGAACAGCAGGTTATCCAGTAAAACTAATCTGCCCATTACAGCTTTATGGTTCCAATAAGAAGAAATTATTGATATCATTGCCATAATATTTTATGGTGAGCATTTTTATGCATTTATTTAAGAAAAAAATACTCAAGATGAAAATAGGCATTTTCATTTATATTTTTTTAAATTTATTTCAACTTTTTATTGAAATTTACTGATAATCATAAGTCCTAGATTTATTGCTACAGTAAATAAATCATATACTACTATAAATCAATAATGAAAGCAGAAAAAATAGTGTACTGAAAAATTTTCAGCATGATGTGCTTCTCAAAATCAGTATTTCAATGACCAAAGCATGTTACTAATTTTTAGGAAGTAAATCAGGCTGAGAACTTTTCAACAACCCCTACTCAACACAATGTGCATGCAAGGACACACAACTTTCTATTTCGTATTAAAACAGCGTAAATTTAATAATGAAATTCAGTAACGGTTTCACATAATTAACATATTTAGTAAATTATTTGTTGCACTTTTCCTACTCAAAAATGAAATTTCAAATTCTAATATTAGATGTAAATGGGCTTCTGGTTTCATGTAATTTATCTGCAGGAGTGTTATATGGCTTATTGTCATATAAATTTTAAAATTGAGTTTTATTCATTTTAAAAAATTTTCTTCACTAAGATTATCAGAAAGTATAGTATTTATGGATTATGATAATATCAACCAACCCAGTCTTGCATAGATCTAGATTTATTCCATCATTATAGCATAGTTTAAAAAAATTAATATATTTCTCTGACAGCTAATGTTTTACATCTGATGGCTTTGTTGGCAAGACTATATATACAGATATTACAAAATATTATAGTTTTTTTTTTCCCTTCTCTCTTTCTCTTTGCTTCATGGTATGGGACCTATCAAAATTCATAATTCAGTGCTGATTAATACAAGAATACTAATCCTTATATACTAAAATTTTCAATTTATTAATAGCGGTTTATAATTCAAGATTTTTCTATTAGTTTCTAGTTTTGTAAAAATGTACATAGCACTTATTTTGCAGTCAGATATATTTATCTTTAAATGATCTTTAATTAGCCTTTATTGTAGCAAGAATATTTAGTTAGTTACTCCATGTTTTATTTTATGAGTTATGATTTTTACTCATTGCTAATGTAGTTAAGAGTTCTGAACTTTTGAACTTGCATTTATTTACATTTTCTTGTTCGTCCTCTAAGTTAGAAATCACTTGCAATATTTATTTCCATTCTATATTTATCATGCTAGCATTTTTGTTAATGATACTTTTACTAATTATTTACATAATCTAATTTTTGTTAGTCAGCATTAAAAATAAATCAGTTTTAGTCACTCAGTCTTTAGATTTACCTCTTTTTTTTTTTTTTTTTTTTTTTTAAATATTCCAGTCTAATAAAAATGAGCTAGTTGGGAAAAATTATGATGT